GTTCATTCGCTCGGAGCAAGCTTAGGACTAAGCCTAGGCCCAATCATAGGCTTAGGCATAAGCCAATGTGTAAGCATAAGCCTTAACCTAAGTCTAATCCCAATAACTTAAGTATAAAGCTTCAATTAATCTTAAACCAAATTACCTTAAGCTTTCATTGGATCCCTAATCTGTGGTGACTGACCTCGGAGGAGAAACGCGTCTCGTCCTGGCGTGTAGCAAAGACTCGGGATCGGGTCTTAAAGCTATGTTGTATTCCTGTCGTTGGTCTAGAATTGTCGGAAGGTCGATGGATTCGGAGTTTGAGAACTTCATCACGGCTGGGCACTTACCGCCAGGGTGAATAACGGTCGAGGAAATCCTCGACAGGGGGTCGTATTTGCTACGATGAGAGCTGGGAGGGGGTCGTAATCAAGAGGTTCGTCAACGGACACAACGGTGCTGCTGCCACTTATTTGCTGTCATCATTAGTTTCACAAGTGTTGTAGTTAGCCTAATGCAAATAATATCTTACAACTGTCTGGAATTAAAATTTAAATGGAAAGTGGTTGTTGGTTTGGTTCGTAGTGATCAGTATGGCATAGGAAGGCAACGCGTCCTGCAAAAGAATCGTAGGGAAAGGGCAGTGAGTATCTACTCTAGAATGATGCACATGCTTCGAAAACTTAGTGGAGGAACATGCTGTTCGGTTTAGAAAGTTCAAAAAACAGGCAGATTCGCAGCTTTCTTGGCATCATCAGATCCTGCAACCGCAAGCTGTCATTCATCAGAACGGGTTGGAAAGGAAGCGATTTGAATAAAGGAGTCAGACATCACTATGACCACAAAAGTTATTCTAATTAGTTAATACTGGAAATATCTTTTGGTGTGATTAAGCAAGTCGTCACTAGGACAAAACACCTTCCCAATGACTCCGAGTGGGGTCACTGCATGGCGCATACAAGAACGGAATGGATCCGCGCCGAAGTGCATTCGCATTTTCCCAATTTGCGTTTTCATCGAGATGACAGTGTATAGGTATTGAAGATGTTCGAAGAAGTTGCGCTTTCCGGCAATTAAGTATAGAGTTTTCGAGTGACTTCCGAAAATTTTTGTATTTCCGAGCAGATATCTCGCGAAGCTTAGAAACGTTTCGAAAAACTGGGGCACTATTAGAAGTTCAGAATTCTCTTTATAATGTTTCTTCGATTTTAGCATTCTGTCAATGAAGACACTGTCTGTCAGTATTGACAGTCCTTGAGTCATATCAGTATAGGTATGTTTTGAGAAGAACGTCAGCTTAATTAGAAATGGACGGGGCTTGTGCTTTAAAAACTCTTTCTTTTTGAAATGATTATGCAATCGAACGAAGTTATTAGTCCTTAATAGGGTTTATTTGAGGTTTTTTCAATAGGCGCGCTATAGCAACCGGCGATCGCGGGTAGTCAGCGCCGCTATACTGGAGCGCGAGACTGTTCAACTGTGTAGGGGCAGTACCTCCTTCAATGTTCTACTTTCCGGCCAATGTGGCAAAGGTTAAATGTCTTTAAAGGAAAGAAGGAGAACCTAATCTGAGCAGAATTGAATCTAGCATTTGGATCAAGCCGCATTTGCGTGGCAGCGGCGCTGCGTCATCTGACAAACTAGCATTTTTTGATATGAAACCGGATGTGCAGAGGACAAAAAGGGGTCGTATCAGAGTTCATGTTTTGGAGGGGGGTCGTAAAGAGGCGGTTATTTCCTCGACACGATTTTCACCCTGCTTACCGCACCTGGCCCCTAAAGGGCCGAAGTGGAGCAGCCCGTAAACAAATGTCCCTGACGTTACCTTTAAACTGAACAGACTTCAAGATGTCAACAGGCGAATAGGTGGAAGGTGTAGTGGCTGAAATGATTTCGTTATGAGTTGTTAGAAGCAAATCTGGTACTTATTACATTTGCATGAATAATTCGAGCTTTATGCTGTTTACATTAGCCTGCAGTTTGTTTGTGATGGTTTATGGCCATTCCCTCAAGGTGCGAAATGGTAGGTTGTAAAGATTGATTCTCAATTGGGACCACATGAAAGATCAATTTCTTGTGTTAATTGCTGAATTTCTATTTTACTCCTTATTCCGAAAGTCGTTCTATAGAGAAGCGGTGCAACCTCATTTTGGAGGCTTCAGCTGATTCCTCAGCTTCACTACTATGATTTAATGGTTATTTATTTTCCACACCGTTCCCACAGCGATACAGAAGGATCCGTCAAAACTCTTATCATCAAGAGAGCATATTCCTGCCACATTCTAAGTTCTACGAGCATTCTACGATGACTCCCCTTCATATCGTCAAATAGGACTGTTTACCGTACCAGAACTTCACCGTTGTAAAAGCAGAAGAGCACAAAAGAAATTTGCAGACTCACTTGAAATTATGGCTGCTTGGGTCATGTTGTACGCAATCACTGCTGCGTCTGGATACATGAGAAAGACCTAAATAATGTATATTGCCATCACAGGGATTCAGTCACTGAGGTGAATATTACGCTTGGAAATGAGTCTTGAAATGCGAAGAGTACTAACAGTGGATACGAAAAAGAGGTCACCGATAGCACCGAAATTGGGTGATTTTTTGTGGATAGCGAGTGTAACGACGAAGAGACACTAGGCGTCGAGATGAAAGATTGCACAAGAGAGTTTTGCGGCGAGCGAGAGCGTAGACAGCCCACCGTTACAGGTAAACGAGAACAAAAGCGATCATCCTTTGTTAACCAGAGCTCTACTGCTCATGTCGCTCACTTTCAAACAGCTTGAACGGCACATTTGCGACCTGCATTGACTGCGCTTGTGGGCATTCTTCGATGAAATGTGCCCTTAAGGTCAACCCGCTATAATGTGATTGAAATTAGAAAGTAAAGCTTCTAAATGGTGCGCTTGTAGAAAAAGTAGGACGGTCAAAAAGCAGGGAAGCGTGGTCCTCTTACGCCTGGTTCTGGGAGTGAACGAGTTCAACATTAGTAGCACGACCCAGTCATTAGTCTTGTGACAATTCCTTCGGTCTGTACGATGGAGCCCTAGAACACAAGCACAGATGTGACATTCCGTGCATGGAAATCACCCGACAAGGATTAGGGCCTTGCAAACAGCTGCAGCAGCTGCAATGTTCCCCGTCCGCAGCAGGCTGTTGTCTGGCGCCCTCTCATCTGTAGCGCTCTCTCCTCATACTCTCCTCTCCGCGCTCAGTCTCTCATTGCCTTAGCACAGCCGATTAAAGGTGAGCGAGCCCTTAACCTAAGCGTTTTCGACGGATTCTTTTCCTTTTTTCTTTACTGCCGGCCCATTTCGCACCAATACTTTCATATTCGTGTGCAAGAGCCCTCGCCTGGGCATGTCTCCAAAATAGTGGCCGTTCCGTATGCTAAAGTACACTTATAAAATGAAGTCGAACAACGACGGCCCCGCTTCCATTTCAGTTGCGCCACCAATATCATCCCTTGTAAGAGCCGTCGGTGTGAACGAGAAACGAAGGGCTTCTGAGGCACGTTTAGCACCATATCACGCTGTCAAGAGTGTGCCTTCCCCAGCGAAAGCGCTACCTCTCGTCCAGTTGACATTTTGGCCTATCCTTTACCTATCTTTCTCCTTATCACAGATTCGTCTCAGCACAATTTTTGTTTCCAAACTAAGTAGTCACGACAACTGAGAGGCACCGTCAACTTCAGCATTTGTACATTATTTCGAAACTTTCACGACTCCCACCCCCCTTCAGGGATTTTGGTACTGCCCCACTATCATTGGGGGCCCCAACACAACCTCTTACCAGCGCGACACAACCCTCTCCATAATTATTCCTAGCGTGACCTGTCGGTACTTCCCAACTCCGTCCACTTTTTAACGGAGCTATATCCAAGTGTGTCTAAATACGGCAAATTTCCCAGTTTTGCCTATTTCATTTCCCCTTCTTTCGTGAAATTTCCACCAAAATCGTCGAAACCCGTCAACAACAACTGCGCAAGCTACTACAAATACGTCCCCTTTTTCGTTTTTTTTGACTCTCGTCAACCTTAAAGATACCCTCGATTTCGGAAGACGAGAAGAAAATCGAGTGCAGACCACACACCATAAGAGACGACGGCCAAGAAAAAAGCGCTTTTCTCTTGGCCGTCGTCTCTTATGATGTGTGGTCTGCACTCGATTTTCTTCTCGTCTTCCGAAATAGAGTATGCCTCCTTCTCAAAATCTCAAATTCTATCCCGAGAGGCGGAGACGAACTTGATATATCATTGGGCACGTTATGAGTGGAAATCCTGTCATTGGTGGAAGTGAGAGGCGCTCTAAGCACTCCCCATTGCGCCACCAATGACAGGCTTTCCACTCATAACGTGCCCAAACAGGATCAACCGTCGCGTTTACACTTTTCTGAAAATTCTGCGACTCCGCCACCATCATTTTCAGAAGGCTTTCCCTAATACGACCCAGCTCCCCACTCCGGTCGCTCTTCCTCGCCATTATGGCTGTTTCTATAGCACTCGACTATGAGACCCGTCGACTCACAGACGAAACCCGACTCCGTCCACTTTTTCCTCCAAAACGGCTGTGAATGGGGAAAGAAGGGGGCGAGGGGAGAGCAATTTGGTCTACTGAAGCAGCAGTTCCTCCAATTTTATCCTTCTTATCCTTTTTCACGTTACTTTTGGGTAGGCACCAAAATCGAATAAAACATCAAAAACTGGTTGTCTTGTTTCACCCCAAATGAGACCCCGTTCGCTCCCAAACCGTAAGTGCGTCCTCCTCGATGGTATAGTGCCAATGGACACCCTGTTTCCACACCGTCTCCGCCTCTCACTCTATCTTTCAAAGACAGTAGATCTTTGGGATAGTTTACAAGGATTTCTCGATATTACGGCTCCTAAAACACTTTGCAGGTGCCACTCGCGCAATCGCATGAATCTCCGATTTTAGTAAAATTGATATGCAGGACGCAGTTCACCAAAAATTATCTATATAAAACGTCACGTAACAACTAATCTGAATTTGACCGCTTCAGTAAATGGGAGAGATTTTTTGTTCCTTCTCGAAAAAGCACATCGGATACGTAAGGCACTGTACCCGGTCGAATTCCTCGAGGTATGTCCGTCCAAGGCGAGGAATGATGACATCATCGGTGTCGGGAAAGATGATGTACTTAGCAGACTCCTGAACAGGGCTTTATCTGTTTATATTATATTCGATGTATTTTCTAACAAAACGATGTTATTCGGGCACACTCTGTCCGAAGCACTAAAAAAGAGAAAAAGTCAGTGCAGACCATACACCACAAGTGACGACGGCCTCCACAAAATGTAATGTTTTCTGCCAATGAAATGATTAGCCTGTTGCAGTTGTATTCTATCAGTTGTCACTAATTACAACTATCATTTACCAAAAATCAGCTATCACTATGAACTACTATAACCAGATTTAGATCGAATTTGTGGGATCAGCGGTCGATAATGAGTTGTGGATGCCGAGTTGACTAAAATGAAAAAAGCAAAGAAAACCGTCGATGAAGCCCAAACAAAATTCCCCTTGAAATAAGGAAGGGGCGGGGCCAGACGAGTTGTACGAACTTGCCTGCTCCACGCTCAACTAACCCGCGCGTATTTGAATTAGCCGCTACGCCGTAATCCACGTTGCGTGTCATGGGGTGTGCGCGACTTAACTCGTCCAAATGCTAATCCTTAGTATTTGAACGCATGGGGCATTCTAAAGACATGCAGTACTGGTTATATGATGCTCTGTTTTTTTTTTACCTAACTCTTCTTATCTATAGCTGGACGAGTTCTAGCTGTCGAGAGCCAAAGCTCCTCACCTTATATAGAAGCAGACAGTCGGTCATAGCTGCTGCTTGATTTCTAAACTCTAGCTCAATATTCGGATCAAAATCATTTGAATTGGCTCTTTTCGAGCCGAGTCGCACGGCTGGCCAAGGTTGAACCCTCGCATTTGGATATCGACTCATAATCAAGAACAGATCCGTGATCATTGAACGGACGTAGAAGTGCATGGCTGCTCCGTAGTGGTTGTGGACCTGGAATTAGATGACCCTATACTTTATCTTACTTCACTTCTATTGAGAATTTTTCTTCGGATCTGTGAGAGATGCAAATTGACAAGACCCACCTCAGCCGTCAGAAGAAGCAGTTGCCATCGCTCGTTCAGAAAGAGGGGCGAGAAGCAGGCCACAACATCGTGACGCTCGGGATAAGGATGTCGGATAGGAATCTGTGATAAAAAGGCTTTAAAGGGGATTCGCCCTTGCGATCAGTATTTTTTGCTGGCTGCTAATTGTTCTGTTTACTATGAATGCGAAGCAACTACTGTCAAGCTAAAAGGATGGCGGCATGCTAATCAGCTAGCTCCTGGGGTCCGTGTTCAGGTCAAAGAGGTGCCTTCTTCACCCGCCCCTGTCGTGCTGCGGCCTCGGCAGTCGGTTATCTTCAGGGCTCGGTGGTCGTGTCTCTGGTATACTTCCTGCAATCCCAGGAATCGGCACCTTGTTGTGCAGCGACGTGTATGGAGCTGGCGGAAGAGCTGACCCCTCAAGCTCAAACTTGCCTACCCGGTTCTGGAGAGTTGTTTTCCCAATATCAATTTTACTGGATTTTGACTAAGTCAGTCGATTGCTCCTCTGATTAGGATACTATCTTATCACTCTGAAAGTCGCTTTCTGTGACTGAACAAGTATGTAAATAAGTAAACTAACAGTCATTCCCTTGCCTCCACTTGTCAACTGTAGCGATGTCATTCCCTCGCTGACCTGACCGACAGCGATGAACGGCACCCACTTGCAGTAGAACGGGATCTGCTGCACCACTGGATAGATTCTGTAACAAATTTTCTTTCTACGAGACCAGCCATTAATTATATAGCTCGACGGGGTGTTGAGGATATAAGCGCTATGCGGCGGTAAACGGCTGATACGCTGCCGAGATTAGATGG